TCGATTGGGGATGTTACCCCCAAATTTTAAATTTTAGGGTTCACGAAAATTAGAGATTATTCTCCACTTAGGGTTCATAAAATTAGGTAATTTGAATTGTTTAAAACAAAATTAATCTTAATTTTCATAATTAGGGTTCTATAAATTAAACAGTACATGAATCAAATATGGGCGCTCCGATACCAATTGTTGGAAAATTAATAATAATAATAATAATAATCCTGATTTTGATTCTAACAATCAAACATAAATGTAATCTCATACTGATAAACATGTTGTAAACTGAATGCGAAAGCGTACCTAAATTAGCCATAATTATGATGTCTTTGTAGAGCACTATATTAATCTTATGGTCTTCCACCTGAAGAGCACCTGTATTTTCCTCTTGATTTTCTCTCTTGATGGGGATAGAAAGAAAGGAACGAGACTGATACTTACGTTCTGTGTGTGTGCTCCCAGAAGGGGACCATGACCCTTTAGATAATCAGAATTAGGTTAATTACTTAAGTTTTAATATTTCCAATTTGGCCCCTCATCAAATTAGAAATTGTTTTATGGTCTCTACACAATTTTATTTTCATGACATATGCCTTTAGTCAAAACTTTAATTTAGTCATATCACTTTATTATTTGGCTTAATAAATAATGACCCTAACACATTTAAATTATGTATCATATATATACATGATCCAAATTTTGCCAACAATACCTACCCATATCTTTATGTTTTGTCATTATATATATATATATATATATATATATATATATATATATATATATATATATATATATATATCAATCAGACTAAACAGTTTATTTTTTGCGACTTTTAACAATATAAAATTATTATTATTATTTAAAGTTATAATTAAAAAATCATAATCACTTTTTAATAATTACATAAAATATAAAATCTAAGTAGAGTATTAAAATCTATACGTTAATACGTATCTTTCTTTATATTATGTTTTATGGGAAATAAAATTATGTTTTATTATGAATTAATTAAATAAAATTAAGATGAGAATAACATTTCGTTTTTTTGAATTCTGATTTTATGTTCTCTTTTCATTGATAGATAAAAATATAGAGTATATATTTTTGTTGGAAAGAAACCTTGTTTTACCATAATAAATGCTAATCCTTTTAAAGTTACTATTTCTATCAAATAATAATAGTTAGAAGGAAGGTTATTATTTTACTTATTTACGTCTTTATAATTTATTCGTTTATTTTCTCATTTGATAATTTATATGTCCATCAATGAGTAGGCGGACATTATATATATTATAAATAAATAATTTTCGTAATTATAAAAAATAAGAATTAATTCAAATCAAAGATGATTTTATGTCACTCATTGACCTACTCTTTTTTATGGATCACAAATTAATTTTTTTTCTCTTGTAAATATAATTAGAAACTTATAATTAGTCTTAGCATAATATCTTTATTTACGAGTGAACAGGTCTCTAACATAATTACTCATCAATTATAACAAAAAATAATAAAAAACATATTGTTAGACAAATGACATCTAGGGGGTGAATAGATGTACAAATTAAAATAGATGCCAAATTAAAAATTTATTTGTGAGTCAATAATTTGTTTGAACACAGATAAAATGGAAACGATAATATAATCAGGAAAAAAGAAAGAGATAAGGGAAAAAAAAAGCACACAGTGATTTATACTGGTTCGGGTATAGTCAACCCTACATCCAGTTCCCAGTCAACTCTTAACACAAGAGTGACTCCCAATTCACTATCTTTCAAATTCAGTTTACGAATTACAATCAACTCAGCAGAAGAACCAGTAAAAAGTAAACTAATTAAAAAGACAATCACCTCCTTAGAAACTCACTAAGGATGAACACCTCCCTAGAATCTCACTAGGGATGAACACATCCCTAGAATCCTACTAGGGATGAACACCTCCTCTGAACAAATCAAATGATGAAAAATACCTTCTTAGAATCTCACTAAGGATGAACACCTCCCTAGAATCACACTAAGGATAAATACCTCCCTGAACAAATCAAAGGGATGAAAACACCTCTTAAACCCACAAAGTATGAAGGAGTAAGATAAGAACAGTCACACCTGGGTAATGGAGACAATAAATTGTAGAAATCTGTAGAATGTCAATCTCCAAGAACAAGTGTGATTAACAATAAAAACACAAAAGACAGTAGAGAAGAGGGTTTTCTCAGAATGTGTAAAATATATCTGTTGTCTTACTAAGAATTATTTTCTCAAAACTGATTGAATGTAAATTGTATTTTCGAATTCTATAGTTATGTGTTTTTTATTTTTCATCAAAACTTAATTAAATAAAAAATAGCATCAGAAAATGGTCGTTGGATATTAATATTTTCGTGAATAAAAATCAGGATATATTCAAAAATATTTATTCTTCAAAACATATATATTTTTCAAATTTGAATTGTCATAATTGATTATGTTACCAGTATAATCAATTATGATTGAGAAAATCATTTTTCCATTTCTGATGCATCATAATTAATTATGACAATGAAAAATATCATGTTATGAATATTATCACATTTGTGCTTTGGAGACTTATGCATAATATTATTTCATCAACTTGTACATCCATATCCAGTATTCTAAGACTCTATCTAGTCTTCAGGAATCATCTTCGGCTTGTTTGAATGTTGAATAAAATCTTTATCAAAATCATATCTTGGGCTTGCTTGAATCTTGAATGTTGTTGACTTGAATCATCATTAAAATCATTTCTTGAGAATGTAGGGACATGTTTCACATTGTCATCAATCTCTCCCTCGTTACTTTCACATATTGTAATTAAGTTAAAAGTATCAATTATCTAATACATAATAAACATAAATAATTATTTTTAACAATAACACTTATATTTCAAATGTGTTCAATAAATGTTTTATTAATAATCCCTTTATTAAAGGGTCAACTAAAATTTATATTAATATGTTTTATTAACATTTTTATTGTTTTTGAATTTTCATTTTTATGGTGTTTTTGAATTTTCATTTTTATGGTAAAGTATATTAACTTCATGTGTTTAATCATTTGGAGTATTTATTATTAAAAAAAAAAAACACACTGCAACGTACTAATCACACTACATTTTAAAGGTCTCGGCAATATTGTCGATAATTTTAAAACCCTAAAATAAAGTTCCACACTCAAATTAGTTTGAATTATAACCTCAAAATATGCTACATATTCACTTTGTAGATGCAACAACAACAGATTGTGTTGCACTTTTGCATGATATAACTCCTCCGACTAAAAGAAATAAATAGTTAAGAGTGAATTTTCTTGTATTCACGCATCCAACAAAATTAGAATCTGAATATCCAATACCTTAAGATTATCATATCTCCTATGTTTAAGCATGTGATCCTTTTATTTCTTATAAGTATCTCAAAACTTTCTTTATAGTTTTTTAATGTTTCATTCCCAAATTACTTTGATATCTTTTTAACATTCCGAGTTACAAAATTTATGTCCGGTCGACTACAAACACTAGAATAATATTCTCAACAACAAATATATATGAAACTAGTTCCATTTGTTTTCATTACAAATTATTCTTTAAGATATATAAATTAAAAAAAAATGCACCATTTTGGTTAAAAAAGCCCATAAGACTAATTTGAAAAACTTGGTATTATTGGGATTTTAGGAAAAGATTAATATCAAAACTAAATTTAACCAGGAAAGATAAGATAATTTAAAAGAATATGACTCAACTTAAAATCTAAAAGCTTGAAATAAAAAACTTATGAGTTTTTCTTACTTATATTATTCAATTTTTGTATTTATATTTAATGTTTTTTTTAAAGAAAAGCAAAATATCAAATATTTTAGATTAATTTTTATTTCTTTGAACTATTTCAAATTTATATAAAATTTACCCGTAACATTTGTTAGTGATAGATAAATCATCAATAAAAACGTGTACATTAACTCACAAAATTATTGGAGTTATCTTGTAAATTTGTTTTATCTAATTTATCTGATATTCTTTTATTATTATAAGTATACTTCTTACAGTAAAATGAAACCCTTCTTAATATTTCCTCATTATTATTTGTATATATAATGTTACTTGTTTGTATTTGGTATTTTTTTTGTGTGTAAAATTTTGTTGTAATAAATAACCTTACGAGAAAAAGAATAAAAAATATAAATAATAATGGGTTGTACCTTTGGATGAAACAGAAAATTTTGCATGAGAAGTTTATTCGAAAATAAGTATTAAGGAAGTTTAAGAATACTCAAGAAATAAGTCTGTAAGGAAAGAAGAATATATGATTATACAAGCTTCTGAGTCTATTTATAAAAATAAAAAATCAGAAGAATGACCATTTTAATAATATAGTGTTTATAAAATTAAGATTGACAAGAAAATCTTAACTGCATTAAATGTCGTGTCTATCCAACTACACCCTGGACTTTTATTCACATCTTTTATACACGCTTTAACATTATATCAGAATTCAAAACTTAAAAAAAAAAGAAAATAACCTTTAATTTACAGAATTCAATTATACATCATTTTTGCTGGAACACATAGAAATGTCGTTAACTATTTAACATGTGTGCAAGGTTGTTGGTGTCCTGAAATTGAAAAAAATAAAAATGATATATTTAGAAATTTAAGAACCACAAAAAATTCACTTAAAAGATTAAAATTATATTTAAGTTTAGTTTATATAAAGTGAGCGTTATTAATTTTAATTTATTAATGTATATTTAAACTTTTTTTTAGTAAAATCTGAAACAAATAATAACAAGAAATAATTGAATCAGAAGAATCTGAGTACCTCGGGAAGTGTGTGAAGAGTCAGCGAAGGAACGAACAGATCGCATCCTGTTTCTGTCTATCTTCTTCTTCTTCATCATCGATTTCCAATCTCTCCCAAATCTCGCGTGTGCGTGAGTTGCAGACACAGATCTGAATTAGGTTAAGTGGAATCGAATTGCGTTTCAATGTCGGAAGGGTTCGCAATCGAACTGTACTTGGATCCGGCGTTGGAGAACCAGGTGCTGAAGGCGTGGAACGTCCTCGCGCGGCGACAAATCACCACTCACCTCATCGAGATGGAGTCGCGCCCTCACATAACGCTCTTCTCCGCCTCCTTTCTCGATCCTTCCAAGCTCGAATCGCTCCTCAGAACCTTCGCATCCAAACACGACCCTCTCCCTCTCTCCTTCTCCTCCGTTGGCACCTTCCCCAACCACGCCGACAACCTCCTCTTCCTCGCCCCCACACCCTCCCTCTCCCTCCTCCAATTCCAGTCCCACCTCTGCGACGCCATCAGAAAAGAAGGCGTCGAGGTCGCCGACGATTTCGCCTTCAATTCCTGGATACCGTACTGCTCCGTCGCCCACCACGTCCCCAAAAACAGAATGCCCGAGGCTTTCTCGCTCTTGCGGGAACTGAAATTGCCGGTTTCCGGTTACGCTACTGATATCGCGCTCGTGCAGTTCTCTCCGGTTCGGGAACTGTCTTCGTTTGTGCTCGGTAACAATGTCGACTCCTGACCTAAGGTTATTAGCCTACAGTACACTACAGTTGCTAGTTTTTCATTTTTTATTTGTTAATGTTAAGTTAGTAATGTTTTATTAGATGGTTAATTGCGTTTGATTGTTTTTTGTTTGAGAATGGCTTGGGAGGGTTTTGGTTCCTCCTGAAATTCTCTTGCTGTAATGATTTATGGTGTCAGGTAACACCAAATTTGATAGATAGAACTTGCTAATTTATCTATCTTAGTTGTTTTTGCTCCCTTGAATATTTCGGTTTGGTGAGTTTTTATGTTTTTTCTGTCTGAATTACAATGTGTTACGGAAATTATCTGTTTGAAATGAATTTGGATGGGGAATTTGAAATGGATTGGTAATGTGTCTGAGGTAAACTGATGGCTTGTCCGATGTGGTTTGCGAAATTGTTGGAAATGTGCTGGAAAAATGAAGTTCTCGAAGACTTGGAAAAGTTGGTAGAGATTATGGTACGGCTAAGAGACGCTGTGAAAAATGGGTTAGGTATCTGTGAAAGGTAGTATGACACTTCATTGTGGAGAATTTGGGATATGCTCTCAATGGAGGTATTAAATTATGATCATGGTTGCAGTTTTGTTATAATGTTTGATATTTTGGAGAATGGCGGACAGACGCAGCTACACTTATGGTGTTATGTTACACTGAATCCGATAAATGAACATTGTTTATTTTATCTTAGTATTAATTTAATAGATGGGAACATGGTGCTAGGTTAGCTTAACTAGTTTTCATTCTTCTTTGTCTGCATAATGCGTTATGATCTGTCTGAAATGAATGTGAATGGAGATAGACAACTCCAAAGTGGACTGATAATGTATTTGAGGTGGATTGTTGACTGGTCCGTCTGAAAATGGATTATTGACTTGAATATGCTGGAAGATTGACGTCTGAAACCTCTTCAATTCAGCCAAGATTTTAGCATGGTGAGATGCTGTGAAAAATGGATGGAGTGCCTACAAAAGTTATTATGATGCTCCAGTTAGCAATTGTGGAGAATTCTGGATATCCTGTAGTGGAATTTAATTTTTGGTCATAGATGTAGTTTTGTCACAATCTTTGGTATGTTGGAAAATTGTTGACATGTGTCCAAACAGCAGCAATTGTGGTTGCAATGCAATCACAATTTTAGTCATGATATATTCACATAGACTTTAAAAACATTAATGTTGTGATCTCAATTGTGCTTGTGGGCCTTATTTTAAAATCTTGCTCTTTATATTTGGAGGAATAAATTATGGTTGGGTTTGGAAAATTAGTTGGTAGTATAAAAAAGTGATGTTGCGTGGAGGTTTATTTGTCTTGTACTTCGGGTTTGAGTGGCTCAACTTCTTTCTTATGAAATGTCTGTGTTCCTTTGGAGGTGGGTTATATATTCATTATTAATCCTTTCGAATTATTGAAGCTGTCTTAGATGTCATCATGTAGCTTTTAGTATCTCCTAACATTGGTTGATAGATGGCAATGCACGCTGTTTTGATTAGTTCATATCACTACGTTGTTCTCTTAGCTTAGATGTTAATAATTCAAGTTCTCTTCAGGCACTTGACATTTTTCTATCACGTAAAGAAATTGTATTTAGTACCAGTTTATGCTAATTCTGTTTGTGCCTGTCAAATTTTACCAAACAGAGTAATGGACTTTGATTTGCTAGTGGCATATTAAATAAAGAAGAAAATGACTTTTATGAAACAAGAATTTATTAGCATGACCACGTATACCTTTTGTTGTTTTTATTTATCCTACACTTTCCAACCTTTTTAAAGTGGTATTCGTATTCCTTTAATGTATAGCGGTTAGTTTGTGCTCGACTTATGAAAAAAACAAAGGTTCAAGTTTGATGATAAATAGAAACATGCATTTCTATTCTAGTAAATGGTTATTTTAGACATGATAATTGCCTGTGAATCTGAAGTGGGCCTGTATTTATGGTCACATGTAGTAAGCATAAAGAAATTCAACAAACTCTATTGTTGAATGCATTGCCTTTCTGATTGTAAAATGCAAACCACCTTAATTTAGTCAGGTTATTTATGGGGGGATTGGTGACTCTATATCTATTAATGTGCTAAGTTATAAGCTATAGTGACACTTATTTCCATGACTTTTTTTGTCAATAATAAATGTTGCTTAAACTATATTACTGTGGAAATTTGAAATATGTGCTGGCTTGTAATGAGTGAGATATTGCTTGTGGAGGACCGAAGTTCCAATTTCAGCTTTAATTTGGTATTAATTGAAAGTTGAAAGATATAGCGCTTGTTATTTTAGTCCTGAATTAAACAAATTATGTTATGTCCTTGATCACCTGAAATGCATTTCTTTGATAAAATTAGGGTATGTTTGGACTAGTTTTTCTGTAAGGTTTTTTAGGAGATAAAAATTAAGAGAAAATATTATATTAATTTCTCCATAAGTTAAAACTAAAATTTTAGAGAAGTTATATGAGAGAGCTTTTACATATTAACTTATGTACTAGTTAATATTAACTTATTGAGAAGTTAATTTAGTTTTTTATTTTATTTTTCTCTCCTAGATGGAGCATATAGAGAAGTTTGTCCAAACAAGTCCTTACATTCCTTTTTAAAAGTTTTAATTTGACTAATGAAATGGATTTTATGCATATTCAAGAACAATAAATATGTTTCCTTCCTTGAGGAACTAATATGACCGATGTATCTCCTAGGTCTGATTTGGTTATTTACTCCATGGATAATATTTAAAATAACATAGTTCTTAGAAAAAATACCACCTCAAAAGTGTTTGTCACTGTACACCTCATCTTGTTTGCTTTTGATTTTTTTAGTAGGGTAAAAGTGAATTTTGGTGGAACTACTTGCTAAATTTTATGGTAAATTTTAATATCTCGACTCTTTCTTCCTCTTTAGACCGCCTGGAGGTTGTTTATGATCCCTTGTCATGTATTGTTTGCTCGCTCTCTCTCTCTCTCTCTCTCTCTCTCTCTCTCTCTCTTATATATATATATATATATATATATATATATATATATATATATATATATATATATATATATATATAGGATAGGAGTCGGATTGATGGACGTTTGTGGCCTATATAAATACGAGGCCAACGTTACTTAAATGCACGACCTACTGAACAAGTTTATATAGAGTCAGAAGTTGCAGATAAACTAAATTCTGGTTTGAGAGTGAATCTGTGCCGACTAGATTGGCACGAGTCGCACTTACTGAACTATGTTTAAAAGTTCAAATTTTTCCTCAACTCAAGTTCATTACAAAAAACAATGATATTCCCGAACCAATCCACTACAGGTCCTTTCATCGTCCAAGTTGCTTGATGACATCACAGGGATGCAAAGATAGTTGTCTAACAAATAACTAGGAACTCATAACACACGTAACGTGTGCAAATACTTTTCTGCATTGGTTCCTTCGGGTGAAGTCAGTGAGATAAAACTTACTATTATTAGTTCATTCTGGTGTACAACTATTACAATCACTTTCAGCAACGCGTACAATATTAATGTTCTTATAGTTTATGTATACTAGACGAGTACTTACAAAATTTGCAAGCTCAATGATTAGACATGTGATTGGTTTGACGTTTAGAATATCTTATTCCCGTTTTGAACGTGAAAAATAGAAGATAATGAAAATAGCTTCAACTTGAATGTGGATCACGTATCCACGGTCTCTAACTTGACTCAACCTCAAACTAAACATACACTAAAAAAAATAAGAATTTCTTCAATGGCTATCATACATCTACAACCACAAAGTAAGTTGAAATTAAATATAGTTATTGTAAAATCATCGGTACAATTAACACTTAAACTAAAGATTTAACAGCCTAAAATGATATAGGAGGCAATACAAGTAGAGCAGTTACTTATGGACCACAGTAAATAGCTTGGAACTGCCAGTCTACTACCTTGGATAAGAACTCAAACTGATTGCCATCTACTACTGTATTCACTATAAACCTAACAATACAAGTTAAAATCAATGGGTGTGGGCGTTTATGACTAAATCTATTTACACAATGCAGTCCCAGCACAACTGTTAATGTGCCTGCGTCAGAGTTGAAGCAAGAAAAAAAATGTAAGAGCCTCTGGTAGAAATTATTACTCAGAGGCAGTCATATTAACAGTTATGCAGTAGTGTAAGGTAGCATTACCCTAGCAATTCCCAATAGCAGCAGATATACAGCACATAGAGAACCAGAGAGACAACTGCCATGAGAAAATCTGACAGTAAAAGGTGTTATGGACACAACTCAAATAAATTACTAATTAAAAACAAAATGGAACCATTCGGAATCAACATTGGATGCTGAACCTTTTCAGTGTATCCCAGCCAGTCAGTCAGAAAAGCTGAACATATGAGGGGGGGGATCATGTGAACTTCAAGAGGTCCAGTACACAGGCAAGCACACCCTATGATATCTCAACTCTGTCCAAAAAAGAGACGAAACAATTTCACATATTACTAGATATACGACAGTGAAGTAATCAGCAATACTAATCTGATGCTCATAAATGTTGAACACGTATATCGCTCACTGTTTTAAATCAAGTATAGCGACATGTAACAGTGAGCTCCAAAAAGGCTATAGCAAGGATACACAGCGGGATAGCACTATTTTCAAGTTTTTTTTTTAGTTTATATAAAATATACTATATACATATAAATTATAAAAAAATGGCTTAAAATAATAACATTTGTAATGGCCAATAAAAAGTCATGTGTCTTCAACAAACATATAAATAAATACCAACAAAACTCAAATAAAGTTTTCTAGAAAAGAATTATCAATCATCATCCTCTAAACCCAAGTCTTGTTTAGCATCTTTCACTAATAGTACATCTATAGATTTAAACTTTGGAAATTAAAACTTTAAACATAACCATCCAATAGCACTCGCTGTGACTACTATCGACCACGATTAGGTCCTCTACAGCTTCTATACTAAACCACTTTGCTACATCAGTCCCTATTGCAGGTAGGAGCAGTTCTGCCCCACTACACTGCTATAGAGCACTATTTAAAACCATTATATCACTACATATAAGTTTAAGCTAAACCATATTGCCAACATGAATCACTGTCTAATACTCAATTTTGTCAGACAAATATATATATATAACCCCGAAAGGTTAAAATAAACAAAAGAAAACTCAAGTTTGAAACTCTACAGCTACTGAATTTTAATGAAGATACTAACAACCCAGTAACAGGATTACAGAAGTCATATAGATAAAGTACCCAAACTCTAAACATCAAGACCATGCATATTGATAAATCGAGTTATTATGATTTGATAAATAGACAAATCAAGGGAAAAAATCAATAACACAATGAAAACTGAATGATTGTCTCAGCTGATACAGAGAAAAAACTAACGAACTCAACTAATTAAAGATAAAGATATCCTACCATCCTAGAAAAAAGAGCCAATGCAAATAGCTATGGTAAATCAAACAGATAGATAAACAAAGAGATGATTGGACAATTTTGTACATTGGAATTAGATACCAGAACTGTCAGCTGAGCATAAATTCTACTTATATTATCCTCAATGTAATAAGCCAATAGTACGAGCCTATCATCCTAGTGGCTGAGAATTACCAAACAGAATAGATACAAAGAGCTAATAAACAGAATAATATCAATTTACAGACAAAAAGCTCTGCATTAGACGATTTTGCCTAAGCCCTCGACAGTACTCATACCATCGATAATTGGTTACTATCTAGTAGACCAACAGGAGGTTAAGGCCTAAGGAAATGTTTGGACGAGTGTCTATAAGAACTTTTAGAAGAAAAAAATTTGAAGAAAAAATTTAAATTAACTTCTTCATAAATTAAAATTAGGCTTATGCACAAGTTAAAATAAAAAAATTCGGAGAAGTTATATGAGAGAGCTTCTACACATTAACTAATGCATTATGAACAAGTCAATTTCATTTTTCTCTTCATATTTTTCTTTCCTAGAAAACCTCATCCAAACAAACTCACACTCAACCTCACAAAACAAAAATTTGTAGGATAAGATTTACATATCCCTTATTTATTATAATTCATTCACATTATAATTTAGTCACGAAGATAATTGGACATGACGTGTTTGGGACTGAATATTTATAGGTAGCTTTGATTCAATCTAAGAATATGAGTTTAATCTTCACTCAACCTAATCAGTTTAAAAGAATCAACTTAAACGGTGAAGATTGTAAAGTATGTTTCGAACCTAATTCATATATTATAATTTGATAACACCAGTAAAATGTGTACCATTATAACACTAAATGAATATTAAAACTTAAATTTTATTACTTCCAAGAATTACCATAACAGTTTCTAACTATTTCCATCCCCAACTCGATTCACCCTAATAAAAATAACAACAACCACCTATCCAACTCAACAATTGTAGAAACTCTATCTTTTGTCAAACTTCCACACAAGCACTTCTAACTAATTATGTGTGAGTCAGGATCAAATAAATTAAAAGAAAATTTAAATTTATAAAAATAAACTAAGGTATGTTTGATCAAGCTTATCCATAAAGAAGAAAAAAAAAATCAACTGAAAACGTTAGAGAAGTTATTCGAGAGAACTTCTATAAGTTAATTAACTCATCATAAGCTCATTTTAGCTCATGGAGAAACTAGTTTCATTTCTTCCTTTTATTTCTCTCTTCCAGAAAGATTTAAAAAGAAAAAAGCAAAAAAAAAAAAAAAAAAGTGTATCACCAGACCAAAAGAAAACCATAAACTACAAATTAGTGTTAAAAAAGGAGTTCAGAAGTCTACATTGTTGCCGAGCACAAACGAGAACAGTTCCCGAACAGGGGAGAACTGCACGAGCGCGATGTCCGTAGCGTAACCGGAAACCGGCAATTTCAGTTCCCGCAAGAGCGAGAAAGCCTCGGGCATTCTGTTTTTGGGGACGTGGTGGGCGACGGAGCAGTACGGTATCCAGGAATTGAAGGCGAAATCATCGGCGACCTCGACGCCTTCTTTTCTGATGGCGTCGCAGAGGTGGGACTGGAATTGGAGAAGGGAGAGGGAGGGGGTGGGGGCGAGGAAGAGGAGGTTGTCGGCGTGGTTGGGGAAGGTGCCGACGGAGGAGAAGGAGAGAGGGAGGGGGTCGTGTTTGGATGCGAAGGCTCTGAGGAGCGATTCAAGCTTGGAAGGATCTAGAAAGGAGGCGGAGAAGAGCGTTATGTGAGGGCGCGACTCCATCTCGATGAGGTGAGTGGTGATTTGTCGCCGCGCGAGGACGTTCCACGCCTTCAGCACCTGGTTCTCCAAAGCCGGATCCAAGTACAGTTCGATTGCGAACCCTTCCGACATTGAAACGCAATTCGATTCCACTTAACCTAATTTAGATCTGCAAATTCAGACCTGCGTCTGCAACTTACGCAAGATTTGAAGTGAATTTGAGAAGAGCGAAAGGATTTTTCAGTAACATGGACTCCACGGATGAACGCGAGAGTAAGGGCTAACGTTGCGTTTTGAAGAGGGGTTGTACGTACGCGTACCCACGAAGATGAATAATATAAATAGAAGAAAATTTGAAAGGTGCGGTTTGAAAAAGTTGTTGGATACGTTGATGAACGATTTTTCATGATTATAAAGGTTTGACACTAAGAAAAAGTTTTCAAAACCAAAGCTTACTCTTTAAAAAAAAAAAAAAAGCAAAAAACTAGAAGAAAAATTTAAATGACTAAAAACTTATAATATGACAAACGAAAGAATATGCAAACAAATAATGGTCACAAAATAGGAGCAAAGAAAAGAGTATGAAAATTAATTATATGATTTATAAATGACTAATCACCTTTTAATTTGTTTCTAACTACAAATAAAAATATATCTCATCATCTTGATGAAAATGTTTGTAAGTACATATATGCATGTTCAAGTCTGATTAAGTTCAAAAGCAGCCCCTCTTTTGAGCACAGCAAGCAAAAACTCACTCCACATATCAACAGGCCCTGGCAAGCACCAATGAGTGCAATCGTTGTAACCCTTCATCCACTTGTTCCCCCAATGCTCTCCAGGGTGTCCATCTGCTCTCATCAGCATGGCTCTTGAAACATCCACCACCTCAAACTTATGACCCTTTTCTTCACCTTCACTCCTTGCTCTCTCAAACTCCTCCATCTGAACATTCCTCAGGTGCCAATCAAACTTCTCAAAATCCACCTCACTTTCATCCGTTGGACATGTCCTATTGCAGTACCCTCCAGTGTTCCAAAACCCGTTCTCAAAGTGTGCTGGTGCAAAAGTCCTCAACACTGTCACCATCCTCTTACTGCTACACTCTTTGCATTCATTGATCACTCTAAAGGCTGTTCTGAATGCTTTCCTCAAAGGGAAGTCCACGTTGTAGCTTGTGACATTTGGTTCGTTGCAGTACACACACCCTACTTCTTTTCCACCTTCATGCAGGCGCATCCCTCTGAAAAACCAATGTCCGTCTGAGATCACTGTGTAGTCTAAGTTGGGGAGTTCTTTGGCCCAATCACTGTCTACCTTGTCTAGCTGCATGTCGAAGATGCTAGTGCCTGTGCCGTTTACCATTCTCTCCTCCCCTACTACGAGGAACCTGCTCCACATACTCATGAGAGTGAAGTCGTGGCTGGGAAAATACCATGTGTGGAACCTGTCTTCTGAGTCCTTGTAAATGTCCTTTGGAATTTCATTCTGCAAGGTTTTGAATCCGCACACACCCTCATGAAAATTGGAAAAGAATACACTATATATAGCAAGATTGATGTGATATTGTTTAAAGGGTATGAATTATTATGTGTTCATAACGTAAGGGTTGATGAAGTAAATGTCATCTTCCATTTCTTAATTATTAATTCCATATCAAACAAACACGTCATGGGAAAACAAGAAAGCAGGAGGAGAGAGAAGAATCTATGCAATTTCAAGTTTTCAGCCATTGATGTCATGCTACTGACAATGAGATTGTTTGACTTCTATAACAAGAACAGTAGGAAAAAACAACTTTATCATAGAGATGTATTTTGTATGATCTTATTATAACCCCGAATGGATATTTAAAGATAAAACAAATGAAAATAAAATACAATTTCTTCCAAATCTCAAGATGTATATTTAAAGATAATTAAAGAACAGTCAAATTAATTATAGCAGAAATGCTAATGTGAAAATTATTAATACCAGATATCAAAATCTATTAACGAATGGTATGCAAATTATTCCTACCAACAACAACAAAGAAGTAAATAAAAATGGCATCAATTAAATTTTGAAACGTAACTCAATCGATCATTTGCTATTTTCACACATTGCAATCACGCAACATCCCATTAGAGGAGAGTTCTTAATTTTGGGGTATTTTGACAAAACTGGCGTTGATATTAAAAGTTGAAACACTGATGGAACTGGAAAATGAAAAACTATATGTGAACTTATAGAATTAAAATGTATGAAAAAATTAACTATTAAACTAGCAAAAATGAGTAAAATAGTGTAAAAGAACACGAATGGGGGAGATAATGATATTAGATAATAAGAATAAAAGTGAAAATAATAATAATAGAGTTTAACATAAGATTAATCAATTTTTATTCATTGGTTTCACACAGTGTTGAAAGGAAAATAATATTTTCTATACTTCTCTTACAAACACTTTTTTTTCTCTCTTATTTTTCGTTTTCATAGCCAAAAACTTGCTAGGTCAAATTTTGAAATAGTCACTCTTTGAAAAGCTTTACCTCACTACAATGGTGGCACAAATTACCCTCTGAATTACATTAGTCAAAGACAAAAGAGACAAAACAAAAGGTGTAGTGAGAGGCATTTGCATGAGTTATCACACTCAACATATTTTCCCTTTCTACAACTTCCGATTTTTTTTTTCTCTTTACAAGAATCACATTCCCCTTTCTATGCAAGCAAAGAATTTCATCTCCATCATAAAGCCAAAAACTGCGTTACTCAAGTGTGCAACGTGTAAAGGAACAATTCACTGAGTAAAGGACCTAGAACATATATTTAAAATGAATCACAAAATTTTGTTCACCATATTTCTTAAAAGTATAAGTTACCCAAATATTATTATTTCTAAGTGATTGATAATGAACATAATCATTAAACTCAAATATTATATAGTATATTACTATACATGTTCATGGTCTCAATTTAATTAAATAAAGTTATTTTGGATACTAAGTATGTTAGCCTTAATTATTAGAGTATTGCAAAACTAAGAATTTTGTATAGTTGTTTTGGACACACAAGGGAAACATTATCAATAACAATACCAAAACTCTTAAATTTCGAAAATAACACAGAATTTTCTGTAATTACTTTAGACACTAACCTGTGACAAGAGGCAGAGAAGGGAATCCATGTGGTTTCTGGCCACTGAATCACCGATGAAAGCCATTTTCTTGCCACGAACAATGTTGAGGAAGGTTTTGGGATCAAACCTTGGAAGTTCACATTGCTCAGGTTTCCATCTCCAATTCAGAAAATCAGTGTCCTTTCTTCCATGCTTGAAACAGTTTTTGCCATCAGGGATAAAGGGGCAGCTTGAATTGGTGTAATAGTTTGATGAACCTCCCAATGCTTGTACCCAATGACCCTTAGAAAGGTCACATGGTTTCTGTTCTGCCCCAAAATAAAAAGCACATAAATTTATGTAAGGGAACAAATTGAGACCTTGGAAATCAAATTACATATACACAGAGGGTGGTGATCTTAATTCATGATCATGATCAAAGGTTTTAAATTACAATTGTGATCTCAATTTCATCACAATATTTTGATTTTGTGAAAATTAAAAAATTTGCGTGATCACATTTGTAACAGCATTGTGGTAACTAGAACTTTGAATATCTTGATGTTGGGTGGAAATAATGGTTATGAACCCTTTGTTGAAACCTGCACATGATTATGATGATGAGTGCGATAATTTTGGAACATACCCTTTTGTGGTGGAGATGATGAAACCTTTGTTGTGATGGCATTTTCTTGGTTTTGTGAGGGGTTTTCAAAAATGTCATGGTCATGATGGGGTGTGAGGGTTAAAGAGTTGGGATTGTAGAGGAAGAACAAACAGAAGATTGAAGCCATTAAGAGAGAAGACAAGACAAAAGGCACTCCCTTCCCTAAGGTCAGACCCAGACATCTCTCCCTTTTGGTATGATTATGATGCTTCTCCTGAAACATTGTACTGGATGTCTTCATGGTCTTCTCCGACATCCTCTGACACTTTAGAGAGAGAGAGAGAGAGAGGAAACAGAATGGTAGGGTCTTGTTTAATGTGAGAGAAGATAACCATGAGAATCCAAAATCATAATCATATTCACGATGATATAGTTTGAGAAAATTTTGGTCTTCAGAACGTTTGTAACACTCTGATCTGGAAAAAGATAGGCAAAATTCCGTTTCCTAGAAATTGTTTGTTGTTTTAATAGGGAGTTTTATTTTTAAAAATAACTTTTATTGATAAAAATATTATTTTAATAAAAATCTCACAGTTTTAAAAATTAAAGAAAACTTTAACCGTAAAAAAATAATATGTAAAGAACTATATTAATTATCATTTAATTCAGTACCGGTCGTGTATAATTATATATAAAGAAATTTTTCTTTTAATAATTATTATGATTTATATTTTTTAAAAATATGAAAAAAATAAATATATTTAAAACAAGAAAGAGAAACTAAAATAGTATTATTAAAAAAATAATTATAATATTATATATAGGTGCTTTACACTTATGTTTTCACTAGTATATCTTAAAACTGTTGACCATTTTTAATAATTAATTACTTTGAAAATCAATTTTAAGATAATTTTTAATTAATCAAGGTATAAAAATTTTAAAAATATATAAAATTAATTATTAATACATTAATGTATTAAAATTCATTAATGACTCAACAAATACTTTTTTTGGTCTTTTCATGTTTGGGATATTAATATACCATACCTTATGGGGGATAATGAATATTTTATTGCTAATTAATGCCATAAACATTTTCACAATTTATTAAATATATGACCAGTGCGTTTGGAAATAAATCAAGAATGTGTTTTTCACATTAGAATGAAGCTTTGACCATTATCAGTTAAATTTTTACATTTTTAACATCATAAACCTAATTTTAGGTGTGAAACATGTTGTTGAGAAATAAGGAGTGATGATAGTTGATGGTGGCCCTGATAAAGATGGTCCAGAAAAGTAAGGTATTAGAAAACCCCTCTGTGTTTTGTTTGTTAGTGTTTGAAAAACTGTTTGTGGAAGAGCACAATACTTGTGAAAGAGAAAGCATGGTATGCAATGAAAAGTACTACTTTTTTTGTCAGAAGATAACATGAAGGGTGGAATGTGACACATGTCAAAGGTACAAAATCAAGCAGTGCATGTGATCTTGTTGGGGGGTGTGGACCATTCTCATAACACGTACCCACATTTCGCGGCACAATTCTTACACTTTTTTGCAGTGGAGGTTGTGTTGGTCATGGATGAACCTAATGTAAGGACTTAAACTACTTCAGTTAGTCCATTTTCTCACATGCTATGTGACAAAGATGGGGGATTCAAACACTAATCAGTATTCTACACCTGTGCAATTTGACCCTTCTCATGTGCGATATGGTTCCCGAAACCAGTTTTGCACATTAGACTTGTATTTCAAGTAAAAAGATAATATTAAGAAATATTAGATTCAATAGGTGTTGTGATAAACTTGTTATGTAGAAAACAGAAGTTTCGAGTTTAGACTTTAATATGGTTTAGAAGAAGAAAAAAAAAAGACTGATAATATATAATCAAAAGATAGTAAAAAAAATTAACATTATATGGTTAACCAGACAGATAAATATTATTACAAGTATGATTTTTAGGAAAAAAATTTATTAAAGTTAAAAAATTTAATTACAACAATTATATGGAATAATAATGTAAAAGTTGTGTGCTATTTAAATTAAATCCATGCTAGAAAGGAGTTGTAGAAATTTATAATGTTATAGAATGGTTGTAAAATTTACTTCATTAATAGAACTCGTGAATTGATTATGACTACAAGGAATAGTGCTGGTTGACCACTTATTTTTTTAAACATGCCAATTTTCTTCACTAAAACATAAAGGCATGACCTTTACACAACTAAAATATTATATAAAGAGAACCTTTAAAAAATATATATAACATATCCAATTATAAACTATAATTTATGAATAGTTAAGTAATATACACTTTATTTTATCATGATAGAATAAATTATAATATATTAAAAATATAATTTATATAAAAATATACTTATTGTTTAGAAAAAAATAAATCTAATTTAAAAAAAAAACTCAATAAATTATTTATTTTAATATTTTTCAATTTAAAAAAAATTATCATTAAAAATATAAGTCTCCGTTCTTTTCCAATTGGTGTCAGAAGTCAAAAACCTAGTTGTTATGAGAATGGTAGGAGGCAGTGCTACTTCCTCAATTGTCACAATTCTGCATACCTTTATATGTACCAGAAAATAAAAATTTTATTTGTGAGTTTAATGAAAAAATCAGATATAATTTTCTTACTTCTTAATGTTTTATAAAGAAAATTAAACTAAAACTATATTTATCCTTATGAAAAAATAAAAAATGTTTGATGTTTGTTAGAAAAACCATAGTCATATAGGATTATAATATACTTTATATTTTTTTCAGATTATTTTATTAAAACTAATAAGTATAATAAATTTAAGTGATTTTAATAAAATAGTAATACAAGTTTCTATATGACTTAATTCTCTTTAAATATTAAAAAAATGTCAAGATAAAATTAATAAAAAAAATAAAATATAATATGTGACGAGTGTAGGCAACAATGGTCATTCAGAGGATATTGATACGAGGAAGTTGCTTGTAGTTGCGCTTCATGTATTGCAGAGAGAAAGAAGAAGACAGTGGAGAGGTAGAAGGCGTAGGAGAGTATAATCGATATAATTTAAAAATAAACTTAAATACTAAACTCATACTGTGTAATCTAGACAACCCACCCTATAGCATGAATCCTTTTTGCCACCCATTCTCTAACGATTTGGTATATTATTAGTCAAGAGATTGATTACTCTCAAGTGTATATATCTATTTCCAAATTCTGGCAAACAAATGCTCAGATCAAGTGTGCGCTACTCAATATATCTATTTCCAATTGTTCATTATCACATCAACATGTAAAATATAATCTTAAACTAAACTTTAAATAACTTGGGCACTAAGTTCAACGAATTTCATACTTAGCAAACAAAAAATCCTTGCTTCTGCAGGCATATGATGCCGGGCTGTGCTGATTTAGTAGTACAAAATCATTTTTTCAAGATAGTAATGTAATAAGAGTTAACGAATCACGAATTTATGTTGCAGCTAAAAACATCAAGGCGTGGCCCATACAAGGAAGAATTCAAAGAAACTCTATAGACAAATTCTAGTTATGATACCAAAAGAAAACGATGCGAGTGCACGGCGATAACAATAAGAGAGAAGTGACACATAGGCCATGGTGGCTAACCTGTGCATATATCAATAACCAGAATGTGATAAGTGACAAAATTCGAAAGTCAAGACTACAGCAATAACTATATATGTAACAAAAGTTGAAAAAAAAAATGATTAAAAGAAGACAAACTGGCCTCAAGCCTAGCCAGTTCATACATCCAATCCTCTCCTTCCAAATGCTCGAGAATGGATTGGAATCGGTGCTGTTGCAGAACAGTCACAGTCAAACACTTGATGCCAATTTCTCTGATTCTAGGCGGCGGCATTATCACACCTGCTGTTTCAGTTAGATATCTACACAGGAAAAACTTATCTGCAAGCGACAATCTGGGAGCAGATTCATACAAAACAACTGCATTAGAGGATCTGATCGCTTTATCAAGTCAGAAATGAAGAGGCACATCGGTAGCAAGGGTACCATCTCTGCTCATTGTCCATGGCTCAACACTCAAAAGAATCTCCAATTTATCAGACATTTTCCTTAATTGCTGCACCAGAACAGTTACAACATCAATACATTACAAAAAAAGGGATTTGCATGACAAAAATACATCAGTATAAAACAAACTCAGAGAAACAGATGTAGTTGGACTCGTACGAAACATGAAATAACATAAAATTTAAGCTCAAAAATACAGCAAAAGGGTTAATAAGAGGGTCAGAGGCATAATCGTGGCTAACCTCTTTAACATGTGATGAAGAGTCATGACACTACTGCCATGAATGTTGCTTATAACTGAATCTCTCAGCTCCATCCCAACCACCATCAGGTTCTTTTCTTTTCAATGCAGCACCTGCCATCTGAAACATCTTCAAGTGGTCCTCCATCGAGGCTTGTGAGTTTGGGACAGACATTTGCCTCAATCCTGAAGGCAATCTATCATCCCTCCGTTCTGTATCCGTACCACCAGGGCCCGAATTAAGATCCAGACTTTGACTTCCCCATTTTCTGCTGTCAGGTATCACATTACTTGTACCACCTGGAAGACTCATAACATAAGGACGAGGATATGTGGATGAAACAACAGCACCAGGCCCAACTGGCTGTGAAGGCATGGTAGGAAAACATAGCCCGCCCACAGTTGACGAATCCATAAATGCAGTTGAACCAGAAAAGGAGTTTGAAGATAATGGAAAATTGGTCTCAAATGGAAATCCTGGATATGGAAAAGGTGTAGTGGGTGGATACGCAACAGCAGGAGAGGATGAAAGCACTGATCCCCGGTAGATTTCAGGACCAAAAGGAGTGCTACCAGTAGGACCCATTATTCGTTGTGCCCCAGCACCAGCAACATAACTCTGCTCCCCTCTACCAGACAGAAGTGGCGGGACAGTAATTGCAGAATAGGAATTGCCTGGAGGAAACCAAGCAGAATAACTCCCATATTCAGCATTGTTTGTTCTCGTGCTATGAATAGCAGTTGGAAATGGTACTGTATTTTTCATCTGCTGACTACGTGGTGGGACTTCACTACCAACTTCTTCAAGGCCTGGCCCATTATTTAAGTCAAAATCTCTTGAGACGCTTCCACCATTAGACAACCCACTTGACAATGAAGGCTTGCTTGGTAAAGAAGGAATATCCAACTTACTAATAGAGAAAGTACCAATTTCAGGAGTCTCATCAACTCTGTTTAAATCAAGATCAAGACCCACACTTCGATCATGTGGTCCAGATTCCAAAGAACCATGTGAACCAACATCCTCAAAACATCTTTCATCTGCCACGTTTAAGTCAAAATCCAAGGGAGGACGACTTTGTTTGATACAAGTGACATCAACGGAAGTATTATCATTAGTAGAAGACTGCGTCTCAGCATTTTTCCTAGGCTCAGCTGGTCGAAATGCACTGGTAGCAGCAGACCCTTTCCATCCAAGCTCCCCCTTGACCCTCAATGGGTTTTCCGGTGGAACAACAGGCCCTTTGGCAGCGGATGCTACTGTAATTGAAGTGTGGAAGCCACCAGAGATGGACGAAATAGGAAAAGGCAACGGGCAAGGAACATGAACTGCAGATGACGTGATAGTATCTTCCTGTCTAGCAATCTCCCCTTGGCTAACATCATCAACAGGAAAGCCTTCGTTTAAATCAAAGTTGAGTTTTACAGCTGTATCAGCACCAGCAGAACATGCATGCCTCTCTCCTGCCACTTCAGATGAATTTGAATCTAGGTTTTGCTCACATGATTTGAACACTTCATTCTCTTTCCCAGACATTGTTGGTAACTCTGGCTGAACTGACGGAGCACAATACTGACCAATGGCCTCCTTTCTACCCATGTTATCTTCAGCACATTCATTAGCATCATCTGGAACGGAAGAATCCTGCTCCATTCGTCTTACATCAGACTCACTCACAACCGACTTCATGTCATTAGCATTTTCATCCCTGGGTACCATTAATGCATTACCAGAAGCAGGTGACTCCTTTTTCAAATATATAGACTCACAGTTTTCAGCAGCTGGAGAGGCCTTTTGTACTAGTATTCCTGAACCTGTTGCTTTCTCTACACTAGTCGGGTTCTCATTATCTACACCTGAAGATGACTCGGGCTGTTTTTCACCTGATTCGTTTTCTGACTCAACATTTGTAACAGGTTTTGAAACCAACATTTTCTCATTCTCAGTGATTTCCTCTTTCATGTGATCAACCTTCTGATCATCATCAAAAGAGCAGGCACTAGGCCTTAATTTAGAGTCAGAAATTCCAGGGTCTGCATTACTCTCCTTTTTAACTGGCAATGTAGCAACAGAAGTATCTTCTTTTGTTTCGGGCCGTAAGCATGGACCTTCAACATTTTGTGACAAATCTGAAGGGGAGATATTTATATGAGTGTCATGGCAGGATGAAATGATTTCACCCTCTCCTGGAAAACCATGTGACTGTGTCGTGGCAGGCTGCCTCAACTCACTTTTTATCTGTAATGAATCAACTGTATTCGATGGATGATCTCCTGTAGCCCTACCATTTAACTCTGAAAGAGTGCGAACAGCTGTTTCACCAGAATGCTTTAACTTCAAATCATTGCCGGAGCACAGTTCATCTGAAGGAGACTTTCTCTCAGGGGATGTCGCAGGTGATGCATTTTCAGATCTGGATATTTCACCAGCAGCCACAGTAGCTAGCAGGTTCATTCCATCATCTCCATGAGATATGGATGCACTTGCTTCAGAAAATTTCACACAGCTTTCAACTAATGCATTCATGGGGCTTAAAGAAGCATCATAAGTCTGCCCAGATCTGGAAACAAACCCAGATGGCAAACTAGTAGGTTTTGATGTTTCAACTACCTTTTCACCATCTTCATTTTCCCTGCATCGCTCATCAACTACTGGAGTGCCCTTACCTTCATCACCACCCATCACAGCTTCATTAGCATCACAGGTCTCATTCATCATATTTGACACATGGGTCAGCAAGCACTCAGTTTTCGTTTTGGCTCTTCTGTCTTGATTATCATTTCGGTCTGCAGGAGACGAAGCTTTGCTGCATGTGGTAGCTGGTTCTTCGAAAGAGCCCCCACTAGCTCCCCTTGAAGGACTGCGACCAGTGTTTGGCAACCTAAGAATCAATCGCTGGTTATTCCCTTGATCAGTAAGGGGCTGGTCAGCCAACTTTTCATGGGATACTCGAGTTGGTGATACTTTTTCAGAAGGTGAATTTCTAGTTGAATTTTTTGCAGAGTTGTGCTCCTTCTGACCTACTGCAACACCAGCCCCATGTAGACCATTGCTTGACTTTCGAGTTCGAGATGCACAACCTTGAATTTTGCTCACACTCATTGACACTGCAGTGGAGCTCTTGGCATCTTCCCTGCAAGAACCAATAGTTTTAGCATGTTCACTTGAACAAGTTATACTGTTATTTTGAGATTGGCTAGAACTGCTGCTCCTCTCCTCCTTGATAGGTGTCAGAGGTAGATCTGACGTCGCAGCTCCAACAAAGACTTTACTGTTCTGATCTTTTGAGTTACTGCCTGCTGAGGTAGTCATTGATTTAGTAGAGCCAGGAGATGAAGATTTGGACATAGCTTCTCCGGAGCTTAATTTAGATTGGGAACTTTTAGATAATGAGGGTTGAATTGCAGAGCTCTTTGCAACATTATCAGACGATCCCCCTGTTTTCCTATTTCCAACATGAGGAGACTCTGAGTTTGCTGGCTTTGCTGGCCAAGAAACAGCACGGTTTGAACCAGACTTTGAATCATTCATGTTCATTTCAGCTTCCACACGCCTTTTCCATGTGTCTACTAAACTCCTGGCTTTCCTCTGAATTTCAGCATTTTTGTGTGTGCGTAAATGATTAACAGACTTTCCAACATTACAGGTTTGCAGTGCATGAAGGTTCACAGGAAGCTTATCCAATGCACGCAGTAAAGCTAACAAAAAATCATCAACAGACTTATCACTTTCTTTGGGCACATTTCCATCACCAATTTTGCCCTTATGGACCTCCTGCAGCCATTCGTCCAACACAGGCAGACCCCTGAGCTGTACAAACCAGCCAAGACAGTCATAGCGGTCCGTAAATGCAATTACATCAACAAGCATTATACGCCCAGGTAAATCTATTTTTTTATCTGCACTATCAGGTTGCATAAGCTGTACCAGTTTCTCAACTCCTTCAAAGTCCACAAGCCCACCTTTATCAGTTATTTTAGCAATCTCAGACTTTAACATGCTCTCTGGTCTAAACGGACCAGAATCTCCATCTTCTATCTTAAATAACCGCTCCTTTTTAGATGAATCAGAACCCTGATCACCTCGCTCTCTCTTTTTACCCTTACCCTGCACACCAAAGGAAGAACTATTTTGTATGTTGTCAGAACCAGATTTCAATGACTGTGTTGATGTTGGACCATTCAAGGGTTTTGGAGAACGGCCTCCTGACTGCACAGCCCCATGCATTTCTAGTTTTGTCTTGTCTAATAGCTGGTTAACTTCTTCCTGTTGTTCCTGAACATCAAAGGACCAAAAATTTATAAATAAAATCACTATACAAAAAATTATGACAAAAAAAGATTTATAAGAAAACTAACATTAAGGTAGTCCTTATCAGTTAGCCACCATAAACAATTGTTCTCAATGTCATAAACTCGTCGACAGACAAATGCGGATATCCCTGAAGGAAGTTCAACACCTTTACGAAGAAATGCGACTTTACACGGATGGAGTAAGGATGCAGCAGGTGTTTCATCCTTGTGAAAGGAATAGAAAACTTCGTTTGGTGCAGCTTCCAGCACAATTCCTTTAGCAAGTTTCAAATCAGCAGGTCGGTAAAGCCAATGCACTTCTAAACTAGGACTTTCTTGTTTATCATAAGTTAACTTGCGAATTATTCCAATAAAAGGAGGGGAGTCCCTGGGTGGCTTGAAAAGTGCACAATCACCAGCGCGAATCTTGCGTCCATCCTACAATGATAATGAACAGTGATTAAATAAAATAAATCCACAAATATTCAAGCAAAAGACAATGG